AGACCTGATGCAGATATTAAATACATTGTAAATAGGTACACATTCTTATAATAATTTAAACATTTATTACTTGTTTTGTTACTTAATTGTTTCATTATATTTTGTATTGCACAATGCATTTAAGGTTTGCAATACAATTGATGGAGTACACACAAGCAAAAGCACGACTCCAAATTGGATTTTTGTTAATGTAAGTCATTTTATATTTATGTATTATATCATTAATTTTATATGTCAAATTAATATATTATTTTTTGTAGTGTAATAGGCAACCAGTATCTTATGAGTGCGGATATTATGTTATGCACTCGGATGTGACTGATTGTTGTTAGCAAGACTGAGGATACATGGAATCAGGTTTGCTTAAATTTAGTATTCAATAAAATTAAATATTGTGTCATTGGATACTCGTTAAATTATCTTTTTCTTGTAACAGTGTATTTTCAGCATAGAGAAGCGTTGCCCATAGAGACCATTGACGATATTAGAAACACCTGGGCCGATAAGTTTGTTAAAGTTAGAAGTAGGCAAGTTTAGTAGTTAGTTTAGTAGTTAGTTTACTAGTTAGATTAGTAGTTAGTGTATTTGTTAGATAAGTAGTTGGATACATATTTGTAATTTTGGATACAATTTTATTTTTAGATGCACATTCAATTAGTTTATATCTTGTATATTGTCTGCCTGGGTTGTATTCAAATTTGCAGGTATTGTATACAAACATTGGGATACCCTGTATAAACAAAGCGGTCATTTAAAAAAAAAATAGACTTTCTACGTCGGTTGTGTCAATAACCGACGTAAAAAATAATAATATCAACGTCGGTTTTTACCATAACCGACGTAGTTAAAACCCAAATGCAGTGTTGTTTATAATCAGCGTTTCTACGTCGGTTCTATATACCCGACGTTGAAAGTCTACACTTTCAACGTCGGTTATGCATACCCGACGTTGAAAGTCTACACTTTCATCGTCGGGTATGAATACCCGACGTTGAACGTATAAACTTTCAACGTCACCTTATACAACGTCGGTTCTATAACCGCCGTTGAAGGCCTTATATAACCGACGTTGAAAGCCATATATGTAGTAGTGCTACTTATTTCAGCTTGATTGCTACCCGTAAGAAGCAAATCATCAACGTATATGCACATTAACAGCATATTGGCTTCATCCAGAATTTTAACATAGACTCCATGCTCCATTGGACATTTTACAAACTGATGCTTCATCATAAACGCATCCATCAACTTGTTCCAGGCCCTTGGTGCTTGTTTCAACCCATATAAAGCCTTCTTTAATCTGAAAACTTTATTTTCACTCCCTTTAACCGGAAATCCAGGAGGTTGAGTGACATATACTTCCTCTTCAAGTGGACCATTGAGAAAAGCCGATTTCACATCAAGTTGAAACAAATTCCAACCTTTTCCAGTTACCAAAGCTACCATCAACCTTATGGTTTCAATTCTAGCTACAGAGCAAAAACTTTCGTGTAGTCTAGACCTTCTTTCTACAGGAATCCTCGTGCAACAAGTTTTGTTTTCCTTTTATCAATATCTCCATTTGGATGTAATTTCAACTTGAAAACCCATTTTACATCAATGGGTTTCTTGTTCAGAGGCAATTTTGTCAATGTCTAGGTTCCACTCTTCTCAATTGAATGTAATTCTTTCATCATTGCAGTCTTCCACACCTCATGCTTCATAGCTTCTTCATGATCAATAGGTTCTGCTTCTGCCAGTAATGCAAAATGAACCAAATCTCTTTCATTATTTATAGCATTATCGGGATAAACTTTAAAGTCAATCAATGCTCTTGGCATGGTTCTCTGCCTTGGTTCTCTCTGTACTTGCTGTTGTGTGAGCCTTGTTTCACCGACCTGATTGTTCTTTAACTTTTTACTTTCATCTCCAATTGTTATTGAAATAATCTGACTTCCAGCCATATCTGTTACTTCCTTCCAGTTCCATGACTCATCTTCACTTATCATAACATCTCTACTGATACACACTTCATTAGTAGCAGGATTGTAGAGTTTATATGCGCCTGTAAGATGATATCCTACCATTATCATTGCAGTACTTTTATCTCCCAGCTTCTTCCTCCTAGCATCTGGATTATGTTTGTAACTCACAGAACCAAAAATTTTCAGATTACTCACCACTGATTTTTTTGCCAGACCAGATTTCTTCCGAGACCTTATCTCCAAGCTTCTTGGTAGGAGACTTGTTTAAAATATGCACAACAGTAGACACTGCTTCTCCCCAGAGAGAATGAGGCAAGTTTTTCTATTTCAGTATACTCCTAGGCATATCAAGAATGATCTTGTTTCTCCTTTCAGTCAACTCATTATGTTGTGGGGTATAGGGTGTTGTCGTCTCATGCTAGATTCCCAGTCCAATACAATATTCTTTAAACTCTTTGGACACATACTCACCTCCTCCATCAATTCTCAAGATTTTCAACTCTTTTCCACACTGCCTTTTTGTCATAGCTTTGAAACGTTTGAAAACTGCCAGCACGTCACTTTTCGCTTTGATAAGATATAGCCAAATCATCCTACTGAATTCATCAACACATGTTACAAAATATCTATTCTTTCCAAGTGATAGCTCTTCAAATGGGCCACATACTTATGAATATACAACATACTGGACTGTTTTCCAACTAAGCATTCTTCACACAATTTTCCTGGCACAGTAATTTCAGGCAGATCAATCACCATACTTTTATCAGCTAATTTCTTGAGACTATGGAAATTCAAATGTCCAAACCTTTGATGCCATAACCAACTCCACTTATCAATGACTGTGGCTGGTAGACATTGTTGTTCACATCTAGCCTTGTTTGAAATGTCCTATTCTTGGACAGTGGTGATTGCAACACCAATTTCTTCCTTGCATCATAAACTCTTAACATTTCTCCCTGCATTGTGACAGTGAAACCCTTCTTAACAAGTTGTCCAACACTTAACAAGTTACATTTCATTCCAGGAACATATAACACACTCTCTATTATGATCACTTCTTTCCATTCTTCTTTATCACGATATTACCAATCCCTGCTACCTCAATAACATTGTTATCTGCAAGCCTCACTTTACTGGTTTTACTTGTATCCAAATTCGAAATCCAATTTCTATGACCTGTCATATGGTTGGAACAACCTGTATCCAAGAACCAATTACCTGTTATGAAACCTTCTTCACTGACAGTAACCATCAATACAACATGTTCTTCATTGGCTTCATCCTGTGTCATGTTTGCTTCAGCCTCAACCTCTCTTTTCTGTTTGCCTTTTCCAAACCAACGATCAGCAGCATAGTGCCCCCACTTCTCACAGATGTAGCATTGAGTCTTTCTCAAATCTTGATTCTTTCTTCCTCCTTTTCATATGCCAAAACTACCTCTGGCAGTTCTCGTTTGTTCTGTATGTTCCCCAGAACCTCCTGTGTTCTTTTCTTGATCTAAAGAACCACTTTCTTTATCAAAACCACCATTTCTATATTTCTTCCATCTTCCACGCGAAAAAACTCCTTTTCTTATAGTAGCCAACGCCTGTTCTTCTTCTATCTTCACAACATTTTTTGCCACAAGCTTCAATTTATGAGCTTCTAGCGATCCCTGTATTTCCTCCACTGTCATCTCCTCTGTATCTTTTGACTCCTCTATAGCCACTACAATATAGTCGAACTTTGTTGAGAGAGTACATAATATTTTTTCAACCATACACTGTTTTGTCACAACTGCTCCACATGCTCTCATCGAATTAACCAAGAGTTGTTACTCTGTTGAAATATTCCGCAACACTCTTCGATTCCAACATGGCCATCAACTCAAACTGCCTTTTGAGAGCCTGCCATTTCACCTTCTTGGTTTTCTCTGCTCCACCATGTACTTTCTGCAAAATATCCCAAGCTTCTTTCACCGTTTTCACCTTGGAGATCTTTTCAAAACCACTGTATCCACACATTGGTGAAGAAGACAACGAGCCTTGCAATCCTTTTTTCTGTTTGCAGTTTCATCTTTCTCCTTCGCAGCATCTCTAACAACTTTCAACAGTTCTTGATAGTCAAAAATAGCCTTCATCCGAATGACCCAATAATTATAGTTCTTGCCATCAAGCACTGGTAGGTTAGATACGAAATTTTTGCTTCTATTGACTGTCATGTTCCCAAGATTTGAAACTTTGTTCCTGATATCACTTGTTGGAGAGCAGAAAAAAATTAAAAGAATGATATATGCACACAACGTGTTTGTATATTTGCATAAGTATTATATGAAAAGATATCAAATACAACAAAGAAGGATAACTCTTGTATATAGAGTTAACCACCAAAACAAAACTATAATAACACTAAACCAGAAACTAAATTATAACATAATACAACAGAAACATGTGCATAAGGCATGGCATGAGATGTATGAGACGAGTAGTACTTGTGATCTTGGGAAAAAACCTTCAACAAAGAATGAGCCAGTGAGAACTCTCAGTTTTACCTAATCCAACTTGGCTACTAAAATATTTTCATCAAACTTAATTCATATATTTTTCTCAATAATTTTTTTTTCTCTTTAACATTCTTTTACCACTTATATTCTTACATTTTTTTTCTTCAGTTCAAAGAATAAATAAGCACCAGAGTTTGCACGCGTATTGCATGCAGCCACATCAAAAGATAGATTTTAAATAATAAGCTTCCACTGACAAAAATTTTAAATTTGAATTAATATCATCAAAGAGTACAAAAATCATTTATCAATTGAACACATTCAATTATTAAAGAAAAAAAATTTATTAATAGTCCAATTGCATTTAAACATCTGAGTATGGGATAACACAATTGTATAAATGTTCTCACATCACTTACTACTGTCACATGGTGCTTCAAAGCTGTGAACCAGTTATTTATTTCTCTTCAATCCAATCAACCAAATCAATTCAATTCATCTATATCTGCTCAAAGTTATGCCCTCTCGTTTCTAATTTCGCTCACAACACAATGCGCTACCTGACTTGCAACGCGGAGACCGCAATAGCCACATGCCATCCTCACTCCCTCAAGAAGACCAAAAAGCCCAAAAGCCCAACACAGGCCCACACCGTCCAACACTTTGCCTACTCCGACATCCTCGCCGCTACCAACCACTTCTCCGCCGACACCTTCCTAGGCAAAGGCAGCCACGGCAGCGTCTACAAAGCCACCCTCCATGGTGGCGCACTCATCGCCGCCGTCAAAAAAACCAAACCCTCCAAGGAGATCGAAATCCTCTCCCATGTCAAAAGCCCGCGCTTGGTCAACCTTATTGGCTTCTGCAACGACCGAACCAACAACAATAACAAACTCATTGTTGTCGAGTACATGCCCAACGGTTCGCTCCACGACCTTCTTCACTCCACCAAAATTCGCCCCCCCGGTTGGACCGAGCGGGTCCGGTTCGCGGTTCACCTGGCGAAAGGGATTCGGTTTTTGCACTCGTTCGAACCGCCCGTCATTCACCGGGACATTAAATCGTCCAATGTATTAATCGACGAGAAGTGGAACGCGCGACTCGGTGACTTCGGACTCGCGTTTAGAGGACACGCGGCGGATTCTTGCGTGGCGCCTGCGGGGACGTTAGGATACCTCGACCCGTGCTATCTTGCGCCGGGGGACTTGAGTCCCAAGAGCGATGTCTTCAGTTTTGGAATCTTGCTGCTGGAGATTGCGAGTGGAAGGCACGCGATTGACGTGAGGCACAGTCCTCCGTCCGTGTTGGATTGGGCGGTGCCGTTGATCCGGCGCGGCGACTTTCGGGAGATTTACGACCAGCGGATCGGGGCGCCGCCGGACATGGCGGCGTTCCGTCGATTGGTGGTGCTAGCAGCGAGTTGCTTGAGGTCCACGGCGGAGAGACGGCCTACGATGGCGGAGGTGGTGGAGTGTCTGACGATGGTGAGGAAGAATTTTGATGCGCCGGTGATGTGGAGGAGAATGAAGCGCCGCGTGGTGAAGGCGCGTGAGGATTTGTTCCCTGATTGGGACAGGAGTGAGGAATCTGTGAGAGTGGTTAAGGCTGGGAGCAGAAGCTGCAGAAGGAATGGGAAGGTATCCAGTGTGTCGGGTGTAGCGTATGAGAGTCGACCCGCGAATCACACGGTTAGGTCTAGATCCGTTGGTCCTGGTTTTTTCAGGGAAATGAAAATTAATTCGGGTTTGGAATGGTACCCAAGCCAAATTGGGTCCGGGTATAGGAAAGTATCGAGACTAAAGAGATCGAGGTCTATGGGTTTTTTGGGACATTACGGTGGAGAGTGGAAGACTTGTCATGAGAGATATAAGGATACTCATGATAATAACTATGATACAGTGAATTCGATGGAGATGGAACTTGCAAAGTTGGGCATTGTGGATAAGAAAATGGAACAAAAAATGCAAGAAAAAGCGTTGGTCTGTTGAAGAGAATTGAAGTTATTGAGTACCATCTGTTGCTTTTTGTGATTGAGTCTACAATACACACGCATGGGAATCTTTTCATACAGGATGAAGATGCTTATTTTACACTCATTACAAATTATTCATTCATTACATCATATGATACTACCAACACTCTTATCACATTAATATATACTCCTTAATTTTTATTCTACTGTTCTGTTTCATTTTGTTTCTTTTTTAAATAATTATGGTTAGTTATTTTGGATACTGTTAGGGTGAAATCGAGAAATATGATCGATAAACGAACAAAGCGTATGATAACTTTTTCGATGTCCAATTATAAAGAACGTAGCACACAAAATCGAAAGGTAGAATTAGAAGGGTAGGAGTAATAGTCGAAGGCTTAACATGGAACAACTTTGAAGTATATGAAGTTAAGGTTAAAATGAATCGATGTCAGGTATGCCAAGTTCTCGATTAAGTCGAAATCGAAGGGAAGGCTCGTCTACGTGGATATCGAAACCCCGGCTAAACCTTGAAGGGAAATAGTCAAAACGCACGTATGGAAAGCAATTTCTAAGTTATGGAAGAGGCGAAGATCGTGAGAACGTGGGAAACCGTAAAAAAGGAACTGCCTTATGCACGTAGGACGTGGTATCAGTCTTGTTAACTGTTTCTGGAAGACTTAAATGATGCCCTATAAATAGTACAAAAGAGGAAGGAGGAAGGGGGGCAGAAATTGGCAGAGAACAGGATCAGTAGTGAAAAGTCTACTGGAGAAACAACGAACACCATGAAGCTTCTGGCAATCTGGATTTCCTTGCTCACTGAGTACATTTACCGCTTTCTGTATTTTCCTTGGTAATTTACTTTGATGCAACTTAAATTCAGCAGTTTTATGTTTCTGTATTTCGATTCCTTGTCCATTTCAATTCAATGAAAATTTGAGTTTCTGCATTTAGATTTCCTGTTATTTAACATTCTGCAAATCTCAATTTCCTGTCATTTACTTTTCTTGCAATCTCGATTTCTTGTCATTTATATTTGCGTTGTTTTCGATTTCTCGCTATTTACAATTAATGCAAGTTTGGGGTTCTCGCATTTTACATTTCCTCGCAATTTAATATTCTGCTTTTCGATTCGATAGTCTTAATGCTTTCGATACTTTAAATACAAAACACCAAAAACAGCATTTTCGATATCCTGGAGTTTTCGATTCTCATACACGTTTTCGATTGAAAATCAAATTGCTAGCCTAAGTAAAAAGAGCTTACGTGGTAGAATTTTGATTAGGACCAAAACACCCTTAGAATCGAAATCGATCGAAATTCCACCGAAACAAATTGGCGCGCCGGGTAGGGGAGTCTTGTGTTGAGAAACACAAAATTGGTTAGTTCGAAATTGTATGAGATTAAGGAGTGGGAGAGTCATGAGTCAGAGTTCATCAAATAACCAAGGTAACAGTGATGGATTAAATGGGTCACACCCACCAAATACTGGGGGGCAAAGTCATAATGATAACATACCTGTAATATCGACAACTGTGAGCATGTCGATACCTGTGAGCATGTCGATACCTGTGAGTAGTGAACAAAATTCAGGTACATTAGCAAACACCCAAGTAGGATCTAGTACGGTGATACCAAATAATATGCAAACTATAGGAAATCCCACAACTACATATGTAGGGCCACGTATGAGTGTAAGACCGCCCGGGTTTTCACTTAATAATGTGAGTGGGGCTGGAACTTCTTCAATGCATAGGAATTCGAGGTATACTTTAGGAATGTCCCAAACACTAGGTATGCCACAAAATTTTGGAATCCCTCCGAATTTAGGGACGTCGCAAAATTTAGTAATTCCCTGAATTCAGGGAATGGACAGAATGTAGGCACACAACAGATACCTCCAAATATAGATCAGAGGGGATACTTAGATCATGGGAGACATGTATTCGATAGAGACTATCATCGATCTAATTTTGATTCTATCGAAAATATGGGTACATGAATATCTAGTAATTCATTAGGGGTACTTAGACAACAAATGGATGAGAGTAATTTTGAAATGGTGAATATGTTATCACAACAATTGACTACAGCTCTTAAATCCATTAGTGCAAAACACTACTGCTAGCTTTGAGATATTAGCGAGACCAAATGTCACGAATCGGGGATGCATTGGCCGTGCCTCGACAAACGAGGATAGAAAATCATGCTAACCAAAATACTAATATTAATCCCCCATATCTATTGAGAAGAAATAGAAACAATGATCAACAGCAGCGTATGGGACATGAGTATCAACATGTGAGGAATGATATTTATGGGAATTTGAACGAAGGATTTCAAAATATACACAATCAGAATAATATGTTGGGACAAAGGATGAATTTACAAGGGATGGAATTTAGACCACCTAATCGGACATATTTTGTGTCTCCCTTCCGAATGCGATTCTCGAGACAGAATTGCCTCGAGGGTATAAAGTACCCAAATTCACTAAATTTGCTTGGAGAAGTTGGTGAATCGACTATCGAGCATGTAGCTCGATATCGATCGAATGTGGAGACCTAGCGATGAGTGAGGAATTGAAAATGAAATATTTCCCAAGTTCTTTGACTAAGAATGCTTTTACTTGGTTCACGTCATTGCCACCCAATTCGATATATAATTGGTCGCAATTGGAAAGGAATTTTCATGAACAGTTCTTTAGAGGAGAAACTCAAGTGAGTCTCATCGACTTGATGAATATAAAAAGATACAATCATGAAAGCATAGATGATTATTTGAATCGATTTAGACAAATGAAATCGAGATGTTTCACTCAAATTCCCGAATATGAATTAGTCGGAATGGCCTCTGCAGGTTTAGAATTCTCGATTAGGAAAAAACTAGTCAATTTACCATTGAATGACATGGCTCAATTAGCTGATAAAGTGAGAAGAGTAGAACAAATCGAATATGAGAAACAAAGGTATAAGAAATATGAGAAACCTCTAAAAAAGGAAAGAATAGCATACATAAATGATGTATATGAGACGGATAATATGATAGAAAATGATATTGAAGAAACTGTCGATGAGAAAGTAAACTTAGCGAGAACTCAAAGTGGGGGTTCCATATACCTGTAAATTGTTGCAAAAGAATGAAGTAAAAGATAAAATGGCAGATCGAACATATACTTTTGATGTAACAAAAGCAGACAAAATCTTTGATATTTTATTGAAAGACAAACAGATTAAGTTGAGTGATGATCATAAACCGCCATCTGCAGAACAAAGGAATGGTCGAAAATATTGCAAATTTCATAATGTTTACGGACATTGGACTAACAATTGTATACATTTCAGGAACACCATCCAAGATGCGATCGACCAAGGAAGATTGAAGTTCGAAGAAATGACAATGAAAGTTGACACGAGTCCATTCGAGGCTCAAGTAGGATACCTCGAATCCCAAACAGGCATTACTGATGATGTCCGATTAACACATTCAGCCTTTGTAGGCATGGTAGATGTCATCGAAGACATCGATCCTAAGCATGTCCGGATGGATGTATCTCGAAGAAGATATGGAATTTGACCTGAGTGAATTCGAGAAAGAGTTTGAAAAGGAAATATACCCTCGATCGGGAGATTCTCTCATCGAATTTTTGAATAGAAAGAAGGAAAAAGACGAAGATGTGTCATTATGCCCACGATGCAGCGCAGTGTTCGATAAATCAGTCGCCAAAGCTTTCGAAACGAGAACGAGATGAGGAAGATCGAAAACCAAAATAAAAGGAAAAATGACAAAGTAGATCAAACAGTCCAACCAATGATCGAAGAAAGTCAGCAGAAATCCGTTGGCTCTGGTGTTTGTGAAAATCAGAGACAGTGGATTAGAAGAGAGATGTATCCTTCTCGAGGAGGAAGAGGTAGACTTCAAAGTAATGATGTCTTCGAAAGACTCTCGTATGATGATGGATCGACCACTAGATTCCCAACATTCCAAAGAAGATTCCGAGGAAGACCCTGGAGAAGAGGAGGAAGGATCCCCTATTGGAATAATTACAGAAACTTTGAAGGAAATGTTGCACCAATAGAGAGTCATTATACAAGAGAATTTTTCGATAACAAGGATGATGGTACTTGGGACGAACATCAGATCGGGGTAATATCAATTTTACCTGCGGAATATGTGAGCGAATATAAAGAATATCAAGAACAAATAGATGCCGAGCGGGAAGGTGACTTCTATTCAGAAAACATAAGGCCAAAAATAACATGGGTAACACAAACCTCATGTGAAGTTCCTCATAGGGATGCTACTTTCATTGATCCCCCATATGAGGAAATGAGGTTCCACTTGAAACCATTATTACTGAACATCGAGATTCAAGGACGGATGGTGAATAGAGTCCTCGTCGATGGTGGAGCAGCAGTGAATATACTGCCAATGACTATGCTAAAGAAATTTGGTATTGACCTAAAAGACTTAGTCAAGCACAACATTATGATTTCCGATTTCAGCGGAAAGACGTCAAGTTCAGAAGGTATGGTCGCCTTAGACGTGAAAGTGGGCACTTACTCAAGACCTACTGTGTTTGTTGTGGTCCAGTCGCATGCCAATTTCAATGCATTACTTGGCGAAGAGTGGATTCATGGAGTAGGAGTCGTGCCTTCGACGACTCATCAAAAGTTATTTATGTGGAATCGAGATGGACATCTCGAAGTAATCCCAGGAGATCAACACGAATTTGTAACATTCGTATCTCGAGCTGGTCGAGCACCTGCAGAATCCGCGCTTGCTCAACCATTCACCTTCGAAACAATCGAAGATTTTAATTCAAAGCTGCATGAGGAGCGTTTCTTAGAGATGAATGAGAAGAAAGGATTCATCATGATCAAAGAGGGGGCCAACCTCGAAGTGGCCGGTGAGGATGGATAGAGAATACGAAGAGTTCTTGGCTCGATTGGGAAAATATGAAGATGGGAAGAAGAGCCAAGAAAGTAGTAGTAGTAGTAAAATAGGGATAAA